GAAACCCTTGTCTTCCTAACCCCTGCCAATTCGTACGTTTGTATGTGGTTCACATGTTGGATGATCTCTGGGAGACAAGTGGGTTTAATGAGGTCATGAAAAGGGCGGGACCCCCATGATGGGATTAGCATCCTCATAAGAGGAAGACATACCAGAGCCTCTTCTGTCTGCCATGTGAGGACACAGCAAGCCAGGAAGGGGGTGCTCACCAGAACCCAACCAGGCTGGCGCTCCGCTCTTGGACTTCTAGCCCCCAGAACGGTGAGAAATAAATGTCTGGTTTAAGTCCCCCCATCTATGGTATTTCGTTAGAGCAGTCTGAGCTAGGACACGCTCTGATGGACTTACGGAGCTACAAGTAATTTGGCAGGGGTGGGTTCCTCTGCTTCTGAAGAACTGAGTCCTCCAGCAGGCACCAGTCATGTACACTACCTGTTGATGGAGAAATCCCCGACACCTAACAGGGAAGACCGTAGCCATCGCGAGGCCAGCTCTGAAGACTACCTAACTCACAGCCCTGCTTTCTCTCCCCTACCACACTACTGGTCAAGCCACATTTGAAAGACAAACCAACTGCTACATTTGCCCCTTCCTCAGCCCTGAATAACACCAGCCCTGAGTCCTAAACCAATAGAAAACAGAATTAAAAGCAATCAAAACCACAGCGTCCCAGCCTATATTGGCCACTAGATGGAGCTATGCATCGCACCAAAAAGACCAGAGGTGAAGCTGATTTTCTCCAAGTTCTGCATATAGAAACTTGAGTTTCATAGCTGGTGAAAGCAAATTATATAAGCCCAAGGTCCTGAGAGGGTAGGCATGGAGAACAGACCATGCACAAAGAGTCATTCAATACCTACTTGTGGTCTCTGAGTTTAGAAAAATAATGGGCACATCATGCCTTCCAGGAGCTCCACCTTTGATGGAAGACAGAGAGAATGACAGTTCTTGAGCATCCTGGACTCTGCCAAGCACTTTTCAAGTTCTACTGCTCAGTCCCAAAGGTTAAGAACTTGTCCCAGTTCACTTGGCAGAGCCAGGATTAAATCTCAACTCAGTTTGCCTTTTAAGACTGTTTGCTCTCCTCAACACCAGCCAGCCTCTCTCAAACACTTCCCACACCAAGTGAAAAGTTCACATGTAAGGTTGGGTGTGAACCAAGGCCACCAGAAACACACGGACAGAGATAACTCGGGCTGGGGACTTCAGGAGGGCATCACAGAGGAGGTGTTTCTTTTATTATTATTTTTTAGGAGGTGTCTATTTTTTGGATCAGTCAGATGGTACTGAATGGCAGGTAGCCCAGAGCAGTGGGAAATGTGGGGCATGTGAGGTGGGATGTGGCCAGGGTTAGGGCAGGGAGGGCAGCTGATGAAAAGACCATAAAGAGCCTCCCATGTTCAGTTGAGATCTGTTTCCCCAAGACATGGGAAGCCATCAAAAGTTCTCGGAAAAATTTCTGACGTTACATTTAAATGATCATTTTTTTTCCAAGAAGGGATGTATACTTTGGAACATGATACAACTCAGTGCCTCCTTTGAAAAGAAATAAATCATCTTTCCAAACATATGGATGCTAAGTCTGTCCCTTTAATTTTATTCTATACCATATGGCACTTTGAATTTTTAGAAGATCAGTAAACGGATTGACTTCACAGATCAAAACTTAGCAAGAGACATCTTCGTCTGTTATTTTCATTTCTTTTCCATTAAGGACAGCCAAAGCCCAATTTATCAGTCTAATAAAAGGAAGTGGTAAGGTCCGGCAACAACTTGTTGAAGTACTTAGACATGCCTAGTACCTACTAAGTGCAATGGAAAAGTTTAATACACACTCCAAAAGACAAAAGGCATTTGTTACTAGGTTCTTAGCAAAACTCAATGGAAATAAGGTAATTTCAGGCGCACCTTAGGGAGAACTGAATGATGCACACAGGTGCACGTGCGCACATAGCCAGCGGAGACAATGAACTAGAGACAGCAAAAAACAGCTGCTGTATACCAAGCTGGGGTACAGTGTGTCATTTAAAAAAAAAACCAAAGTCACAGGTTTTCAGAAACCAGAACTTAACTTCCATGTCAGGCATTCTAAATAAACTCACTGTAAACTTTCACAAAAACTCTCCTTAAAGAGTACTCAAAGGGATTTACATATTACTCATACATCAAGGCTGCTCCCACTAAGCCAAATAAGCATTTGGATGAAAACTTGAATCATCTCACTGTTTCCAAGTGTCTGGATGTTTGAGGTTGATAAGACATCTAGACCTTGTCTGAAACTCTGTCTTCATCAGATATTTGCCATTAATCAGATACAACCTCAAAGAGAAATATCTAATTGTAGAAGGTTAAAGACCATAGTAATTGCAGTGCTGCAAGGCTTAAGGGAGTGAAGTGATGGACCTAATGTCACAGAGCTTGCAAGGGGCAGAGCAGGGCTCCAGCACCGCCTGATATCTCAGTCTGTTTTCTACCACATCAACGGTTTCAGCGAAATGACTTATTTAGCAGATACTGAAGCACAGAGCAAGAGCCCAGTCCTTCAATACCTACATGTTGTCATGTGTGTAAGAGGAAAAAGAAGTGAGTACAAAGGACGTGAAAGCTGCCCTGAACTCAGCATATGAAGGCAAACTGGTAACGTGGCCCCGAGCAGAAACTCACACGCATTTCCATACAGTGGAGTCCTACTTAACTCGTGTTCCAGAGTGTTACAACTAAAAGGAGCATTCGAGGCCATTTCGACTTCCCCCTCCTCATTTTGAAGGTAAAGTTCTACATTAAAAGAAATGGGGAAGAAAAAGCAGACCAGAGTTCTCCAGTTTCAATAATTGGGTGGTTTGCTTACATTTCCGCACTTTTATCTACACTTGCTCTGAGCGTATCTCACTTGCTCAAAGTGTAAGCTTCCCGAAGCAGGAACTGGAATGTAAACATTTGTGCTGTTTCACAGGGATAAAGGTTATGGCTGAAGAGCTAAAAGAAAAAAAACTGCGAATGTCTCACAGGGACATCACTAAGGTTCAGTGGACGGTGTTTCAATGTCTCCACCTTGTGGAAATGGTCAATACTGCATCAAGATCAGACACTGACCACCTATTGAGGATTAAGACTGACTTGACAGTAAAATTAAGTATTATAAGATAAAAAAAAAATCTCAAAGTAACTCAAAAATATTTTGGTAGCATATTACAGTGGGAATGGCTGGTGATAATCTTGAGGCCATGCTGGATACCAAAAGTCTTCTAAATAAATAAAAAGGCAATTTAATCTTAGTAATAGGTGTGACTATTTTTTGTGCTTATGGAAAACCAGAAACACAAAATGATGCTCTCAGTTGCCCAGATCATTTCTAGTCCATTAGCGTTCCCAGCCATTCTGGAAAGTAGAAATTCGTTACATTGTAAGGGTTTGGTGGCTCTTGTCTTCCAAAGTTTCACTCACCAAGATGGTTCTAAAAGTGACAGGCAGAAAGCCAAAGTACCTTTATAGCTGAGGTTTTCATTGAATAAAAGAACATGCCTACTCAGGTAAAACTAAGCAAAAGTAATTTTGAAATAAACTCCAGCAGTTGGTGCTAAGAAGCAATAAAATATTGGGCAAGATGGTGTAATAATAGCCTCTGGCTTTGAAGCCATGAACCCTGGGCTCTGCCTCCTAATCACTTGCCATTTGGGACCTTGGGCAAGTTATTTAACCCTTCAGAGCCTCCGTTTACTCATCCATAAAATGGGAATTATGATATCACCTGCTTGCTGTGAGAACAGAACGAGGTTATGCATATAAAGCCCTGGCCCAGTGCTCAGCACACAGTGGGAGCACATTAGCTATTATTAAAATTATGAAAGTACTGACTCACCCATGGGGGTCCTGATTGCTCTGTTCATGGAAAGGAGCAGTATGATTATTCTGCCCGATTTCTATTATCTGCAATTTTGTCTGCTAGCATGGGAGAGGAGGAAAAGACCATGGGGGAACTTCCGTACAAGTGAGGCTAACAGATGGAGAAGTCTCAGGCAAGCGAAATAAACAGAGGCACCTTCTGTTTACACTGTGATCTGGAAGTGCAGCTAAAACCAGCCGCAATGCGGCTTAGACACCATCCCACCGCTCCCCCGAATTTCACACGTGAGTAAATGGATCACAGGGAGGCTGGGTTTGTTCCTTCATCTATCGAGGCACATGTTCATTTATTTAGCACGATGTCTAAGCCCCTGTACCTAGGGGGCACTGGGGATAAGGTGGCGAACAAGCCAGCCAATGTCCCTGCTTCGTGGTGCTTATTGTGGGGTAAGCAGGAGGGGGCCGGAAGTCAATAAAATATAAACACATCATCAGGATAATTTCAAATAGTAATAAGCTTTCAAAGGAGCCTAAGACGATGATGGAGAGGACGAGGGCATGGGGCAGGCCACATAACTACTTCAAGCTGAATGGTCAAGGAGGGCTCCTCCAAGGAGAGGCCAGTGGAGCAACAAGGAAGAACCAGCCATGCCGAGATCAAAGACCAGAAAGATCAGAATGGAGGCTGAAAGTGCACAGCCCGGGAAGTAGTGAAGAGCTTAATGAGACTGAGGAAGAAAAGGGGCAGCCACAGCCGAGGAAGCAAGGCGGATGGAGAACGAGGAGCTCGGAGAGGAAGGTGAGGGCCAAATCCAATACGACCAGGGAGCACAGGCTAAAGAGTCTGGATTCCATCTTAAGTGCAAGGCTCGGTTTAAAGGACCAACACAATAGGTTTATTACCAGCTGTCGCTCTGGCCGCTGCTGGAGCCTTCTAGACCTCCCAGCAAGTTCCTGGCTAAGTCTGGACTGCAGCCCACGTCTGGTGACTCTCAGCCCAGAAGGTGCCCCTGCACACCACACAGCCTTTGACAGAGCAGAAGGTGAACTAGACAGTTTGATCTCCATCAGAGAACTTAAACAAAGCCCTACGAGAGAGACACCGGCTGCCAAGCTGCCTCCCGTTCTTCGAAGAGAGAGAAGCCCCAGGTACTCACCCGCTGGTGATGTCATCCGTCCGGATGTTCTTGCTCAGAACATCCCCATCACTCATGTAGCCGGGGGCATCCATGCTGATGCCTTCCAGGTCCATCTCGTCTCCTGCCTTGTCTGAGACGTCCACGTGGCACACACTGTTTCCCCTGGAGGCGAGCTGCCTCCGCAGAGGGGCAGAGTACACGTAGCGGCCCGACTCAGTGTTGATGAACCGGCTGGCATTGGCTCGAGGTGGGTACCCGTTGCCCATAGAGGGGGCGTCTCCTGCTTGAAGCCGAGGGCTGGACTGGCCGAGTCTCCAGGACAGGGGAGTGGGTCTGCCGCTCAAGCTGAGGATACTGCGCCCGCTTATCTCCGTGGTGACGTTGCTGTCAAATGTGGTTTCCAATGTGCTGAAAACATAAAACCAGCTTTGGCTTAGACAGACCCTCATGTGCTTAGTATCCCTTTGCAGTTTATATGTTATGTTCTTTAAATATTTTTTTTAGAATTATGAAATATTTCCTATATACAAAATAGGATCAAACAATAGCCACTGATGTGCCACACAGCGTGTTTCCTCTGTAAGAAATGAAAAGACGGAGCTGCAGAGTATAGAACACTCTGGAAAGCCCAGAAGAGACTTTCCCCCTAAAACATGGTACAGGATACCCACAACCAATTCCTTTTGTTAAATGATTTTAACTTTTAGCATCTTTTTTCCAACCCAAGAAAGGAAAGAGAAAATGCCGAAATGATAACGAGGGGGCGTAACGTACCCACAGGTGCACACCTTCTCGCACACTGTGTCACAGCTCCCCTTTCTGCTCCGGAGCTCCCAATGTCACCTGTCACATGCTCAGCTCCCATGAGACCAAGCAGGTGGGGAGAGCCCTCTTTCCCCAACACTTTTGCTTCTCCCACATTTTCTCCAAAAGACAGCTAAACTTTGGGGGGCAAAAGGCTGAGAGTAGTATATACCCAGGCTCGAGGTCCAGAATAAATTAAATTACAAGGATCTGAACCTGCCAGGCAACTGAGCTCATCCCTGGCCATTGGAAAGACTCCTGCGTCCACTCTTTCTGGCCCTGCAGTTGTTGTGGCCCAAGCAAGCTGGTCAGTGTATCTCCGCAGAGCACACTGGGGTGTTCCGACTAAGCAGAGAGGCTCTTTCCTGCAGAAAAGCCATCGAAGGGCTCCCTGATGTCATCATGACCATCCTAGCCCACACCAAGAAAGCCATTGAACAGTCATGTCCCCCAGCAAGTCAGTGTCGGTGATCAGGGTGGAAAGAGGATGTTTCATACTTGATCACAGAGTCCCAGGGCCTAGCAGCTGGCTCCATGCTATTACACAGCTGAAGGTTTGGTGGGGGGCACCCCACTACCACCCCCTAAGTTGACTGTCCTCTCGAAGAACCAATTTGGTGCCTCAACTGTTTTATTGTTTCCCTTCGATCCTAGAAACAGCCTTACTATCCTCATACTGGGGACCCATAAGGATCAGGCCCCTGTCTTATTTAAGATAGAACCCAGAGTGCTTCACCCCAATCTGCCAAAGCCGCCAGGAATGGGGAAGCCCTACTGTCTCCTTGTTCTATTCATTTATCAAAGAGACTGAAATCGGAGAACAGGAGACTCCTTGGGAGTTCACTGGGGTAACTAGGACTCTGTCTTCATTATCAAAGCCCAGCATAAACCTTAAAGCTTGGTTCTGCCAAAATCCACTAACGGGGTGTCTGAGGGTTGCATCCTCTTCAACTTCTTGCTCAACAATGAAAACAACCTGATGAATGTTTCCAATGTAATCCTAGATTTCATCCAACTAAATCATAGTTTAAACATGATCATAAGTTTTTATAAATATTTCCTTACGTGTTTTATACACGGGCATGACTAACAACATTACAGAGTGTTGTATATCAGAAGACTGGGTAGGAATTCAAGTTATTCACTTTATCACACAGGTCAAATATAGTTCACCTGCTCATTTTCAGAGCACAATACAGGCTTGGAAAATGCAAGTAAAGCGAAATCTAAATGGAACTGGTCCACAACATCTCCTGTTGAATGGATTTAGCAACCATCTGCTTTGGGGAGGAACCAGTCTACACTCATTTTCACTCCTTATATTTCTCTTCTGCACATCGCATGGCACTCCCTGTGAGTTCCAGCACATTTGGGGAGTGAAGTTATTTATTCCATTATTAGCCAAGTTGCTTTGCATTGGCATGAACACACACAGGAGAAGCTGCATGAAAATCAAGTTGCTGCAATTTGGTGAAGAAATTCACACGGCAGATACCTGTGTGTGACCTGAGTCCCCCGTAAACTAGACATGGTCTCCTCCAAATTCTGCCGCAGGTCGGCGATGTTCTTCACGGTCCGCAGTCGCCGAGCCTCGGGGTCTTCCCCTGGAAAGGTGAAGGTTAAGACTTTTAATTCTCTGATCGACCGGGAGCTCCGTGAAACACACCATGTTCCACGCTCACCAGGGGCGCTTAAGGATTTGAGAACAAATGGATGGATGAAAGCCCAAAGGAAGTTGTTAAATCCAAGGAGAGAAGTCTTTCTTTACCCTCCAGGTCCCTCCTGAAACAGGTAAACTCTAGCTTGTAGGAGAAGCAAGGCACCTAGTCTGAGGGGTAAATACATTTTCAAATGGTCTCCAACAAAGACACACACAAGTTAGGTCTGAGCACTCCCCGCGAATCATCTTCTGCCCACGCAAAAGCGGGTGAGGCATTGTATCTTCTCATCCACTGGTGATAACACGCTGCTCTCTACCAGCCCTACTTCATAAATGGGACTTGCACAGTGGCTAACCGATCTTTACTTATTAATCACAAATACTTCTACAGAGTGAGGTCTGCCTCGTTCTGTTAGATTTACTGTGTCATCTCAAATTCTGGTTCCTCTAACTCACTGGCTGTGGGATTGGGGGGAAGGCGCTGACCCCACTCTAGCCTTCGGATTCCAGAGTATTAAAATGAGGATAGTGACAGTACCGACCTCATAGGACAGCTGCAGGGACTAAATGGGATGGGGCCTGGAGACCCCTGAGCATAATGCCCACCTCAAGCACTGACTCATGCCTGCCAGCGCTGCAGGGAGGGAAGCCGTCAAGAGGATCGAGGGCTTCTCTTTGGGTGACAAGAGACTTCCATTCTCGGGGCAAGATTTTCTGCAGGACACCTGGCCAGGCAGAGGTGAAGCAGGCACAAACATACCAGGAAAAATAGGCCACACACAAGCTGGGAAACCACGTGCCCTCAAGAGTAGCCTTGCTCTGGGTTCTCTGGCTATCCCGCTTTGTTTGGGCTGAGATGGCGCAGAGGAGATGGGGCATCACTACGGGGATGATGAAAGGAAGCAAGTGTCTTTCCTCAGAGAAATTCCAGGGAGGGCTGAGAAGACCGCAGAACCACCATCAAGGCTTTTTTTTTTTTTTAA